GGAATTGCTGCGGGAGCAGGGCCGGGAGGTGAGCGGGAAAACTGGGAATAACGGGAAAAAACGGGAATTCTGGGAAAAAAAATGGGAATTCTGGGAAAAAACGGGAATTCCGGGGTGGATTTTGGGGATTTTGGGGATTTCTGGGGTGGATTTTGGGGTGGATTTTGTGGTGAGTTTTGGGGTGGATTTTGGTGTGGATTTTTGGGGTGGATTTTGGGTGTATTTTGGGGGATTTTTGGGTGAATTTTGGGGTGAATTTTGGGGTGGATTTTGGGGATTTTTGGGGTGGATTTTGGGGATTTTGGGGTGGATTTTGGGGATTTGGGGGAGATTTCTGGGGTGGATTTTGGGTGAATTTTTGGGTGGATTTTGGTGTGGATTTTGGGGTGGATTTTTGGGATTTTGGGGTGTATTTTGGGTGAGTTTTGGGTGAATTTTGGGGTGAATTTTTGGGTGGATTTTGGGTGTATTTTGGGGTGGATTTGGGTGTATTTTGGGGTGGATTTTGGGGTGGATTTTGGGGATTTCTGGGGTGAATTTTGGGTGTATTTTGGGTTGAGTTTTGGGTGGATTTTGGGTGAGTTTTGGGTGGATTTTGGGTTGAGTTTTGGGTGGATTTTGGGGTGAATTTTGGGGATTTTGGGGATTGCCGGCAGCTGCGGGAGGAGCAGGAGGAGCTGGAGCTGCTGATGAACGGAATCTTCAAAGGGATCTTCGTGCACCGCTACCGGTGAGGGGAAAACGGGGAAAAACGGGGGGAAAATGGGAAAAAACAATAAAAAACGGATAAAACAATAAAAAACGGGGAAAAAACGGGGGGAAAACGGGGAAAAATGGGGGGAAAACGGGAAAAAACAATAAGAAACAGGGGAAAACAATAAAAAACAGGGGGAAAAACGGGAAAAACAATAAAAAACGGGGGGAAAACAATAAAAAACGGAAAAAACAATAAAAAACGGGAAAAAACCGGGGGAAAATGGGGAAAATGGGGAAAAACAATAAAAAACGGGGAAAAACAATAAAAAATGGGGGAAAACCAATAAAAAACGGGGAAAAAACGGGAAAAAACGGGGGGAAAACAATAAAAAATGGGGGAAAAACAATAAAAAACAGGAAAAAACCGGGGGAAAATGGGGAAAACGGGGGAAAATGGGAAAAAGCAGGGAAAACGGGGGAAAACGGGAAAAAATGGGGAAAAACGGGAAAAAACAGGAAAAAAAAGAGGGAAAAACAGGAAAAAAATGGGGAAAATGGGAAAAAACGGGGGAAAATGGGAAAAAACGGGGGAAAATGGGAAAAAAAAGAGGGAAAAAATGGGAAAAATGGGGAAAATGGGAAAAAACTGGGAAAAAAAGAGGGAAAACCAGGGAAAAACGGGGGAAATGGGAAAAAAACAATAAAAAACGGGGAAAAAACGGGGGGAAAATGGGAAAAAAATGGGGAAAATGGGATAAATTTGGGATAAATTTGGGATAAAATCAGGGAAAATTGGGAAAAGGTTGTGCCTGGAGGAGCTCGGGCTGGGGGAGAAAATCAGATTAATTTGGGATAAAATCAGATAAATTTGGGATAATTTGGGATTAATTTGGGATAATTTGGGATAATTGATTAGGGATAAAATCAGATAAATTTGGGATAAAGTCAGATTAATTTGGGATTAATTTGGGATAATTTGGGATTAATTAGGGATAATTAGGGATTAATTTGGGATAATTTGGGACAGGGATGTGGACCCCGAGATCCGGGGGATGTGCCTGCAGGAGCTCGGGCTGGGGGAGAAACTGGGATAAAATCAGATTAATTTGGGATAAAATCAGATAAATTTGGGATAATTCAGGATAAATTTGGATAATTAATTTGGGATAATTTGGGATAATTTGGGATGATTAATTCCTGGAACAGGGATGTGGACCCTGAGATCCGGGGCATGTGCCTGCAGGAGCTCGGGCTCTGGGTGCGGAGGAAATCAGATAAAATCAGATTAATTTGGGATAATTAGGGATAATTCAGGATTAATTTGGGATTAATTTGGGATAATTTGGGATTAATTAGGGATAATTTGGGATAATTCAGGATTAATTTGGGGTCTCTGGACAGGGACGTGGACCCCGAGATCCGGGGCATGTGCCTGCAGGAGCTCGGGCTGGGGGAGAAAATCAGATTAATTAGGGATAATTTGAGATAATTCAGGATAAATTTGGATAATTAATTTGGGGTAATTTGGGATAATTCAGGATTAATTTGGGGTAATTAGGGATTAATTAGGGATAATTAACTCCTGGAACAGGGATGTGGACCCCGAGATCCGGGGGATGTGCCTGCAGGAGCTCGGGCTGGGGGAGGAAATCAGATAAAATCAGATTAATTTGGGATAATTTGGGATAATTTGGGATTAATTAGGGATTAATTTTGGATGATTAATTCCTGGAACAGGGATGTGGACCCCGAGATCCGGGGCATGTGCCTGCAGGAGCTCGGGCTCTGGGTGCAGAAGTTCCCGGGCTCGTTCCTGAGCGACGGCCACCTCAAATACCTGGGCTGGAGCCTGCACGACAAGGTGGGGAAAAACGGGGAAAAATCCGGGAAAACGGGGAGAAAAATGGGAATTCTGGGGAGGAAAAATGGGGAAAATCCAGGAAAAAACGGGAAAAACGGGAATTCTGGGGGGGAAAAACGGGGAAAACGGGAAAAAACAGGAATTCTGGGGAGAAAAATGGGAAAGATCCGGGAAAAACGGGGGAAAACGGGGAAAATCCGGGAAAAATCCGGGAAAAACGGGAATTCTGGGGGGGAAA